ACTAACACGAAATAAAAAAAATGCCATCACCCCGGCCCAAACGGCCAAACCCAACCCGATCCCTACCCGCCGAGCGGGTCTCTATCACACTGCATCAAGCAGTGTTGCAGGCAACTCAGAAGCTGGAAAAGTGCATAGTTGGAAGGATTTTGTGGTGCTTGGTAGTCAGTGAAGTATGGAGAGAACGCTGCCGCAAATTATATGGCCAGAAGCGGTTAACAGCATAAGCTTTGGCTCGGAAGATGCAGAGGGTCATGGAAGCAAAAACTCAGGGGGATCAGAGTGTTGCCAGTTCTCCTACCGCTCAAATTCTGTGGTATATAGGGAGCAGATCGACGTAGTTGTAGTATAGTTTGCTAGAGCTGCTAATTGTACAGTCAGATAGGTACAAATCACTACTTGTATTCCTGATCGTATTTGATGAATAAAACCACCCATTCGTCGAAAAAATAAAGAAGATGAGAAAGTTGATAGTAGTTTTTACAAAGGGCTTCTAGGGAAAGTTGATCAGAATGTTTAGTAATTTTTGACTGAATTTTTTGAAAAATTACTAATTAATAAGTTGGATGCAGATGATGCACTATGCTTGACTGCCCCTATTACTATAGTGGAAATTAGAAAAGTCTTCTTCAGTATGGGGAATGAATGATAAAGCCTCACGTCATGATGGATATGTTGTAAAGTTTTTCAAGCTTGATTGGGAGATTGTTGGTGCTGATGTCGAGAATACTATTCTGGATTTTTTCAAATCTGGAATCATGCACAAGCAATTAAATTCTATAGTCATCTCTCTCATTCCTAAGCTTCTCATTGTTGAAAGGATGAAAGATTTTTGCCCTATATCATGTTTTAATGTGATTTATAAGGGAATTTCCAAGATGCTCTCAAATAGGTTGTCACGGGATTTGCCAAAACAAATTGGAAGAAACCAATATGCTTTTGTGAAGGCCAAGTTAATTAGAGACAATTTTTTAATGACAACTGAATTAGTTAAGGACTACCATAGGAACAGAATCTCCCTTAGGTGTGCTCTCAAGACTGATATGATGAAAGCCTTTGATTCAGTTGGTTGGAAGTTTCTTTTCAAGGTTATGAATGCTATGGGCATGCCATTTAGCTATATTAGGTTATTGAAGCTTGTGTTACGTCTCCTATGCTAAGTGTTTCTTTTAATGGAGGATTGTGTGGTTACTTCCCAGCTGCCAAGGGATTGTGACAAGGGGATCTGTCATCCCCTTACCTATTTACTATAGCTAAGAAGGTTTTATCTTGTCTTCTAGCTTGAGCAGTAGAGGCTAAACACATTCCATATCATCCTCGTTGTAAGATCTTGGGGATCACACAACTTTGCTTCGCAGATGATATTTTAGTTTTTTTCTAATGGGACATCTCAGGCAATTTCTAGAGTTAAGCAGTTACTTTTCAAGTTTTATGAAGTCTCAGGTCTTAAGTGTTATCCTCAAAAGTGTCAGTTGTTTTGTGTTGGGATCTCACAAGATGAAAATAAACATCTTTCTAATCAGTTTAGGTTTCCATTGGGTGAGTTGTATGTCCGATATCTGGGGGTGCCGCTTCTGTCAGGTAAGCTGACTTCTGCAAATTGTGAATTCCCGGTGGACAAAATTTCAAAACGGATAAGTACATTGCAGGCCAGGCCACTGAGTTATGTAAGGAAATTGCAGTTGATTGATTCTGTTATCACTAGTTTATTCCAGTATTGGATGTCAATCTTTTTGATCCCAATAAAGGTTCTTAAATTGATTGGGGAAGCTTTTAATAAGTTTTTGTGGGGTATGGATAGTGATAAGAGGAAGAAAGTAGGGATGGCAACAAAACCCGAACCTACGGGTACCCACCCGACCCAATACGGTCAACGCGGGTAAAACCCGTGTTGACGGGTTTTGGGCCGGGTTCGGGTTTAAACCCGTTACACTATTCACCGGGTCGGGTTTGGGTTTAGGTAAACCCGCCCCATGAGTACCCGCCCACACACATATAATTACTTTCCTGGTATATTTGATATTCTAAATAATATATCTTCCTTAAACAATTAATATTCTTTATATTTGTGGAGACATATATAATTTGTTGTTTCTAATTGTTTAGAATGAAGTTGATATTATGAAGTGGAGAGTGAAGAAACTTAGTTGAAGAGTAAGAAGCTTTCAATTAATCTTATTGTTTATAGATGTTTATCTTTAATTTTGAACAATTAGTATTGATCATTTACGATTTGCTTGTATGCTCTAGTTTGGTGTTTTTTGTATGAGAAAATTAATGTTAAACTTTTATTTTGAAAGAAACTTGTTATTATAAATTTTTTACCACAAAAACCCACGAGTACCCACGAACCCGCGGATACCCAGCGGGTTGGGTTGGGTTTGAGTTTTTCAAACCCAGCGGATTTTACCCCGGATTTTTTTGGCGGATAAACTTATGGGTTTGGGTTTGACAAAACCCGCCCCAACCCGCCCCATTGCCATCCCTAGAAGAAAGCCCATGTTGCCTGGTCAAAAGTTGCACTGTTACAGCAAGAAGGGGTTTGGGAATTCGAGATTTCAAGACTTGGAATAAGGCTTGTGTGATCAAGCACTTGTGGAATTTGTTAGCTGAAGCTGGGTCACTATAGGTGGCATGGAAGCGCGCAAAGGTACTGTGTTAAAGGAAGAAACATCTTGTCTCTTCCTGTCAGCACTGTCAATATATGGATTTGGAAGAAAATTCTTAAATGTAGAAGTGTGGCACAAGAGCACATTAATGATTCAAGAGATATATTGGCTTGGGATGGTGCAATCATTGCTAAGTACTCGATTAAATTGTATGGTCATCAATCAGAGTTCCCTCTCCCACTGTTCCATGGTATCATGTTGTTTGGGGCAAACCAGTCTATCCTAAGCATAGTGTGGTGCTATGCTGATTATCTTAGATACAATAAAGACAAAGGACAAGTTGTTCAAGTGGGTATCCATTTGTGTGCTTTTTCCTGGGGGGTATCGAGAGTATAGATAACTTGTTTGGGGGTTGTTCCTTTTGTAATGCAATTTTGAAGAGAGTGTTGCATAATGTTTGTGTTTGGCCTGAGTTTGCAGATTGGCAGCCGCAGTTGGCATGGGATAAGCAGTAGTGGTTGCAACCTAGTGATGCAGTTGCAAGACTTTTATGGATTATGGGGATTAGTTTTGTTTAGAGAGAAAGATGCACTAGACTTTATGACACCTTGACTGCCCTTTCCCTAGATCAAGTCTCGTTAAAGCTATTGAAGGAGTTCTCAACTTTTGATAGACCCATTTGCCATTCCAGTTGAGAGTACATAAGTATTAGGGCTTTTATTACAGTAATACTTGCCTTTCTATTCTATAGCAGTTTGATGGTTGTGATCGCGCAATTGAAATTTTGAGAGGGAGCTTTGCGAGTTGCAACTCCCGAGGCTTAAATACAATTTTTGATTAACCATAATTTTTTTTGAACTACTTACAATCATTAGATTTAAACTCATATTCTCAAAACTACCCTTAGTGTTTTTGAATTCAAAGTAGTTGATTTTGAATGAATTTCATATTTCTGGTTGCTATTTGAAGAGCAAAAGTTATCTTCGAAAACTGGATGTAAATTATAAAAAAATAACTACCCACTATTACGTACTTATTGGTGCTCACAAATACGTACTTATTAGGGCTTAGGGTAATACGCTAATTAGTTTTTATCATATGTTATATCATCATATTACACTAATTCTATAAATTAAAATTCAAAATCCGATACCTTAAGGCTAGTTTTTGAGTTGGGTGGATTGAACTCACTCATTTTTGTGAGTGCACCGAATACGCCACCATATAGGTGGCTACTTCGGTGCACTCACTTTTTTGGGTGCATATAGTGCACCCAACTCTAAAAGCGTCCATAATACATCAAATTTTGAACTTTAATTAGTACTCTCAATCTAATATGATTACATGACATAGAATCATAACAAATCAATCCATTACCCTAACCCCTTAACCTTCAATTTTGATCGCAACCCAAAATCCCAAATTGTAAACCTAAACCCTAACCCTAAATGACTAAATCTTAAATCCTTCGAATTAAAGTAATTTTTGAATGAATTTTTTTCAAATTCATGTGCTTCTTGTTCATAATATCATAAGCAACAGTTGATACCGTTTTGACATGAATCGCATGGTCAAAATAACAATTATGAGGCGGGTGCACTGAGTGCACCCGAAAAAGTGGGTGCACCGAATACGCCACCATATATATATATATGTATATATATATAGTGAGTTACAGACTACATACACAGATACACTTCAATATATTTTTGTATATAAATCAAAATTGTTAGTTATTATTTTTAAATTAAATCAATCATATATTTTGGGTAAGAGAATTAAAGACTGACGTACATCCATTAAATATCAGGGTATTGTATCATACCACAAACTCCAATTAATTTATAGTTTAAATAACAAAAGTCAATAAATCTGTGGTGGTGTACGCTAACCTAAATCATATATAAATACACCCTTTAATTTCATTCTCAAAGTACAGTATTTAAGCATTGAGGCACTCTCCCTCGCAATCTTAGCGGCTGCAGGGAGTTGCATTGAAGATTCTAAACACCAAAGATTAAAAACTTACAATACTTCGAGCTGCTGCTAGGGACATGAAGAATATGCATATGCATGTATAGTTCAAGATTTGATAGTAATTAACTATAAACAAAAAACAAAACAAAACAAAAACCCATCTTGATATTTTGTTCCCCCATGCACTTCACTCTCCCCACATACCCTTTCTGGCAGAATCAGAATGGCACCCCTCCTAATACCCACAACACATTGAAATGTCATTTTCTGTCCCTAAAGATGCAATCTTTCTCAATCATCATGCAAAATGCAACCCCTTTCTCTCTCCTGCTAGTACAGTTTCACACACACTCTCTCTCTTCCTTCTATCCCTATATATACCCCATTCTGGCTTGGCATTATAACTCAGGTTCCTTCACACTTCCCACTTACCTCTCTTACCTCTTGTTTATTTACTTGAAGCACCCTCATTAAAATGGACAGAAACCAGTCACACAGGCAGGTTGCCACAATGAAGCAGTCTCTTTTTGATCAAGTTTGTTAACTCTACTCTCTTCTCCCTACTTCCACCTTTCTAATTACCTTCTCTTCTCCCCTTTGCTAGCTAACTGGCTCCATATATATGTTACAAGTTGTTTGAGTAGTGATTTTGGTTGGTGTATTTCAGGGCTACCTTGACCATGAGCAGTTCAACCAGCTTGAAGAGCTGCAAGACGATGCCAACCCTAATTTTGTGGAAGAAGTTGTCACATTGTACTACAGAGATTCTGCCAGGCTGGTCCATAGCATCGAGCAAGCATTGTAAACATCAGCCTCTCTATAGCTTCTTCTTTACTATTTACTTGATAATAATCTATCTCATTATATTGAAAAGTTTGAGAATGGTTTGGCATGCAGGGAGAAAAGTCCCATTGATTTCAACAAGTTGGACAGCTACATGCATCAGTTCAGGGGAAGCAGCTCAAGGTAAATATTATTCATGGCTATATTCATTATTCAGCTGCTTGGCTTTAGCACAACATAAAAAAAAAAACTAATGAACCAAGCTCTTGGAGCAGTATTGGAGCCAAAAAGGTGAAGGCAGAGTGCTCTCTCTTCAGGGAATATTGCAGAGCTGGAAATGGAGAAGGGTAAATACTACTTGTACCTTAATGGACCTTCCCCCTTTTCTCCACAATTTTTTCCGGCTCTACTCTTTTATAAAAGATGGTAATCTACAACTAAATTTGGACGGCTAAATTTGAAGCTGGACCTCTTACATATTGCAGTAGATAGATACTATTATTCCTGTGGCCGACCCCATCCCCAATTTCAGCAAGTAAAGGAGAAAGAACATATGCATCCATCATTTCAATCAGAACCAACTAATTTGATCTGTTGATCTGTTTGCATGGGGATGGTGGTGGTGGTGCAGATGCATGAGGACATTCCAGCAGGTGAAGAAAGAATATACAGCTCTGAGAAAGAAGCTGGAGACCTTTTTCCAGGTAACCATATAACATATATCAACAGTTTCTTTATTTTTGGTGGAAAGAAAGGTGCATTAATTTTTCTAATATAATCTAATGGGTCTGTGTTCTTCTTGTGTTGGAACTTGGAATCGTGCAGCTAGCAAGGCAAGCTGGGCCTGTTGATAGAGCCCGTCGACCCAAGTAAACCTCAAGCCTAGCGTAATAGTGCAGTTGCAGCAAATATAGTCCCAAATTTAATGTCGTCTTCTTTTCCCCGGTTCCTTCCTTCTCTATGCGATGCGGTAGATAGTAGAGAGAGCCTAGAGGGCTTTGGCTCACTAACCCTGTAACTCCACTAGGTTTGTAATAATAATAATAATTATTATATAAATTGCAGAAATATCGTATGAGCTTAATAATAATGATATGTTGCTCACTGTTTAATATTTGATAGTTGATTCACATACCTAGCTAACAAGCTTCTCCACAGCTCTTAAATATTGTATAGTCAAACGCGACCGTTGACGTATTGTAGAAATGCCGATGTAATAGCTTTTTGTGCCATTGGATGGGGGGTTTGGTTATAATTCTACCTTTTTAGCTAGTTATTAGTTAGTTTAATGATTCAATTGCTAACCGACTATTTAGCTATCACCCATAGTTTCATGTTTGTAAGATCTCTCCCAAATCTTGTTTAGTACGAAAGGAAGTTTAAACAAATTTTCAACACTTGAATTGTAATCTTCCGGGAGAATATAAACACATTCATCAATGTTGCAGAACCGAATAGAATACAAAGAAACAAGTTTTAAGTTCCCAACATAAATCAGCTTACTAGCTCACCATGTCCTTACCCTACTAGTGATTTTGTCCAACATAAGGACGTAGTCACGACTAGGTAGCTTTGATGGCCACACGGATGATGGGGCCGGGTCGGGTTAAGGCCGAGTGTGGGCCGGGTGGATCGGTTATTATTTTGTGTTATTACTATTTAAGGGGGAGAACCTCACTACGTTCGTTATGAAGAATATATCATATTATTAATCTCAATCTTTAATCTTCTCTCTCAACTCTCATCCCCAATTCTCTTCCTCAAACCATAATTCTCTTCTTCAATCCCTAAATCCCCCAACTTCTCAATCCCTAATTCTTCTTCTATCTATCTATCATATTGGTATCAGAGCCCGAATGAGCTCGTCACAGTTCACCGATTCGGAACGATCACAGATGCTGGAAAAGGTTCGCCAGGCGGAGGCCCACGTCCGAGCTTGGGTGCACGAGCACACCACGCTCGAGCAAAGGCTGGCAGCGGCGAGGGAGATGAGGTTGACCCCGCTGCGTCGTGAGGCAGCCACCGCGAGGGCAGCCGAGGGAGGCGCAACGCCGAGGCTGAAAGGCGGGTCGGCAGCCCGAACCGAGGCGGAGGACGTGCGAAGGCTCGGAGAGGCGACATAAGAGCTATCGCTCCACGCCGTGACAGGTAACTCGTCTCCGGGAACTCTACGGTTTCGTGCACAACTGGAAGGGCGGCTTGCGCTTACTCTTGTGGATAGCGGGGCTTCCTTGAACTTTGATAGTGCGGAATTTGCGAAGACCTTGCACCACGACGCCAGCCCGATAGCACCAGTGGTGGTCAAGGTGGCCAATGGCGCACCCATGCAGTGCCAGGCGATTTACAAAGGGATCACGTTGGTGATTCAAGGCTTGGAGATCAGGACCGACTTGTGTGTGCTACCGCTCAGGGGATTTTATGTGATTTTGGGATTCTAAGACAATACCAGTACTAAGTCAAGGCGTCCAAATGCTCTTTCGGGGTTCAGGAGGTCGAGTTCCTGGGTCACATAGTGACTCCGCACGGGGTGAAGGTCGATCAGGCTAAGATACGAGCGATGATGGAGTGGCCAGTCCCGGCCAACGTGACAGAGCTGCGGGGATTCCTGGGGTTGACCGGGTACTATCGGAAGTTTGTGCAGGGATACGGCATGATTGCAAGGCCTCTGACAGATCTGTTGAAGAAGGGAGGATTTGACTGGACGCCTACAACAGAGTCGGCCTTCAAGGAGCTTAAGAGGGCGATGTCATCTACCCCGACTTTGGCATTGCCGGACTTCTCTAAGCCCTTTGTGATCAAAGTAGATGCCTCCGGATGCGGAATTGGTGCTGTACTATCCCAGGATCGCCATCCCATAGCTTATATGAGCAAAACCTTGGCGCCGACTAAGGAATCTTGGTCTACATATAAGAAGGAGATGCAGGCTATCATCACAGCAATCCAAACCTGGAGACCGTATTTGTTGGGGCATAGGTTTCACATTTATACTGATCATAAGAGCTTGAAGGATTTGCTGGGGCAGAAGGTGTCAACTCCAGATCAGCATTACTAGGTGTCCAAGCTGATGGGGTATGACTACACGATTCACTACAGACCGGGTCCCACGAATGTGGTGGCCGATGGGCTCTCTCGCAGTCATAGTGGTGAGATGCTGGCGGCCATATCTGGACCCGTTCCTCAGTTTTTGGATGAGCTGCGGTCCCTTGTTGAGACCGATCCCTACCTGCAGGAGTGTCGTGACACGGCAATGAGCGAGATGCCTGGCCGGTACGTGTTCCGGCACGGGCTGGTGAACTTCAAGTGTCAGGTGGTTATACCCGCGGGGTCCTCACTAGTGACGATGGTTCTCGCGGAATTCCACGACTCACAGTTTGGGGGTTACTCAGGCGCGGAACAGACTCTGCGGAGAGTTAAGGTCCATTTTTATTGCACGTATGTCGCAGACAGTGAAAGATTATGTGGCTTCTTCTGATACATCCCAACGAGTGAAGGCTCGAACAGTGCTGCAGATGAGTTCGGCTTATCATCCGCAGACTGATTGGACAGATGGAGGTGATAAATCGACACCTAGAGCAGTACATGCGTTGCTTCACACCCCAGCAACCGCGGAGTTGGCTGGGTATGCTGTCGTGGCCGAGCTGTGGTACAATACCACATACCATCGAGCCATCAAGATGACCCTGTTTGAAGCGCTATATGGACGCCCACCACCGTCTTTGGTGCGCTACAGGAGTGAGGCTAGTGCCGTCGATGCGGTCTACCGTTGGTTGGCTCCCGTTACGAGGTTCTGCAGCAGCTTAAGCTCAATTTGGCAGCCGCCAACAATCGGATGAAACAGGTGGCGGATTCCGGCTGACAGGAGGAGGAATTTGCTGTTGGTGATTTGGTACTGCTCCGGTTGCATCCCTATCGCCAGGACTCTGTATTTCGGCGTGCTTACTAAAAGCTTGCAACTCTCATCCCCAATTCTCTTCCTCAAACCTAATTCTCTTATTCAATCCCTAAATCCCCCAACTTCTCAATCCCTAATTCTTCTTCTATCTATCAAGCTTGCCAGCTATTAGGGGAAGCCCAGATGAATAACGAACAACTCTCATTCATGGAAACCATTAGCATTAAGAGCAATAACACGAAAATTAATACCAGTTCCTCCAATAATACACAACACATTTCCTTGGACTACTCTTGAGCCCTTAAAGAAGGTACAAGTGATCTGGGATACACCTAACACATTGAAGATAAAATAAAGAACTTTAAGTGAAGATGAGTAAATCATTTGCAAAACAAATATGGTTGACCCAATTTGCTTGCATTGCAGATGATAAGAGAGTCGGATTTTTTTTATTGATATTATGAAAAGGTAGAGAAAAGGGATCCTCTTGCCTCAATCATTTTTCAGCGGGAAAAACCCACATAGCCTACCATTTATATTGACACTAAAGAAAGCCGTTGAAATTTGAAACACACTCATGAATCGAGTGCACAAACGTATCAGAGAAGCCCATAGCTTTCAAGACATAGAAAAGAAAATCATAACTTACGAAAACGAAAGCATTCATCAAGTCCACTTCCACATTATAATGTGAAGAAATGCCTTTAAAGTGATATTTATGAACCATTTCTTTGGTCATTAATATGTTCTCATGAGTACTCCACCTTCAATAAAAGTCAATTAATTTCTATTGCTAATAGATGGTAATACGTTCTGCAGCCTGGATGCTAATAGCTTGGAAATAATTTTGTTCCATTTCATATATCCAAAAATTATAATTAATCCAGGTAGTTTTACTCATAATTTCTTTCTAATGGTCAATAGATGAAGTTTTGAAGTTGGACCAACCAAGTTTAAAACATACTTAAAAGATACAAGCAATTCGTAGATAATCATTGCATAAATTTACATGATTTCTTTTTCATTGTTGTGCAATTGGAAATTGTAGTAATTTTGATATTGGTGGGGATTGAGGATTCAATATATGGAGAACATGGATACGACATTACTATGTAAATGGAGTTGGGGATTTGCCATTGAAAGGGAGGTCTGGTGGAGAACACTTATTGTAATAAAGTATCCTAATACTAAGTCTCTATAGCAAGACATGTATGGTTTGAGAAGTGATGGATTTTTGTTATGGAAGAGCACCATCCTGGAAGCTCAGACATTCTGGAAGTATGCACATATCAATTTGGAAGGTGGTGCATGGGTCTCATTTTGGTTTGATTGTTGAATCCCTGGCGTTATCCGTGCAAAAGCATTTCCTAGAGTTGTTGTAGATATTGTTCACTACGATCAATGGGTTTCTGACATTCAGGAGGTTAGTAATGATGGAGTTGAATTGGGAATTCCTTTGTTATATTCATTAACGGGAGGGGCATAGAGGGAAATGAATGAGCTGTTAAATTTACTTTATCAAATACCGAAATCCTTTGTTTATAAGGTTGTACTTGAATTCTTTGGGAGCCAAACCCTCCTGCCGAGTTTTCTATGAACTCTCCTTACATATGCCTTCTGCGTAACTGCTTTGCTAGATATCCCTATTTTCTGTTTAAGTTGATATGTCAACATAATGTGCCCTTAGAGTTTTGCAGATTCATGTGGTTCTTGACTCTACCACAATAAGATCCTACCACAAGATAACCTTGAGAAAAGGCTGGTTGTTAGCTAATAGGTGTTATATGTGCATGAACAGTGAGGAGAGCACTGGTCATCTATTCATTCGATATCCATTTGCATGTGAGGTATGGAGGAATGTGTGTTTGGCTTTGTAGGGATATAGTTCTCTTCAATATATGATAATACTATAATTACACATGTTTTCCCAAACATTTCTTGATTGTTTGGCTTGACATTTGATTGCTTTGTGGCCCATTTTATGCTAGGTAGTGCTTGTTGGTGATATTTCAGGTTCTAGTACGTGACTGGAGGCTTAGGAGCAAGTCTAGGTGCAACTGGAGAGCACGGGATTCGGAGGACAAAGAAGCAAAATTCATGGTCTGGGGAGTCAAACCCACGAACGTGGTTATTGAGCAGAGATATTCCCCAGTTTGGTGTCCTCATTCCACGACCTGGGATTCCAAGACTCTGACCGT